GAGTGGGGAGGAGTAAACCCCTAAATTGAAGGCCCCTTGCCCACTTGGCCCTCATCCCCAGCCAGAGCCCTCCAGATGGATCGGAGCGACGGCACCTATCATCCCCAGCCGCGCTCAAGAGCAATATACTACTATAAGTGGCCAAGTCCAGGCAAGAAATATCGCCCACCATGCATTTTCCTGGTCCCGAGTGAAGCTTGGCCGGTTGAATGCCTACCTGCTGTGCCAGGAGACATTAGCAGGCTCTGCTTCTAAAGGGTGGGCAACAGAAATATTCAATCACCTTAACTGGAGCAATGGGTCACCTGTACGGAGCCCCAAAACTGTTTTCTTCAAGAGTGGATCTTAGCTCAAGTCTCTCTAGGTAAATCTGGTCCCAATTGTCTCTTGGACTGGCCTGCTTCACAGGGTTGTTGTGAAAATACCGTGGGGGAAAGGGAGGAGCGTGTCTTGAGCTGCGGGAAAGAAAGATGAAATACAAACTGAAGGTAGTAACTAAATCAAGAATAAAAATCATTCCAACCATTGCCAGCCACTCAGGGAACCAATTATCCATAGAGCCCTGAGAAATGGCTGCATTCACACAGTGGCTTGGTTAGTTTTAACCTGGGGAGGGGGTATTAGAGAGTGGGGTGAATCCACCCCATGTTTTTGGTTTACCGGATCCTGCAAACCCAGAAAATGGCTTGATTCAAGTTAAATCAGGTGAAGCCCATGTAGACCCAGCCTTAAACCGTTTCTTATCTCTTTCTTCTTCAGCGAATTTGAGCTATCAAATTTGTCTATCAGACTGGCAGATGGCGCCACCCAGAGATTAATTCTGCATTACAAAAATGAACATACACACACCCACAGAGAGAGAGAGAATGCAAGAGAGAGAGAGAGAGAGAGAGACAGAGGGAGAGAGATTGATTACAGGATCCCCAATGCATTTTTTTCTGCAAAAGAAAAAAAATACCATGACGGTGACCGATTATTATGATTCTGATTATTAAAATGTATATGCCGCCCAAATCCCACTGACTACACTAACCCACAGTTTCTTCCACCATCGTTCAGTGAATAAATCATAATTGGATAGGTTCGACTTGACAAGCTAAGGCTAACCAAACCAAGGAGCCATTCTATCATTGGGATGATTTTGGTCAGTGTTGGGACAAGAGTTTTACCGTCTGAGTCCAAGATCTCAACAAATATATACCGCCATTGGGTCATTGTTGACTCCTAGCAACTGCCTGGTCAAGTCCCTGTGGTTTTCTTGGCAAAGTTTTTCCAAAATGGTTGGCCCTGGCCTTCTTCTTCTTCTTCCCAGGGCAGAGAGCGAGGTCCAAGGTCACCTAGCTGGCTTCATGTCTAAGGCAGGTCTAGAACTCCTGATTTCTAGCCTGGTGCCTTAAACACTACATCAAACTGGCTCCCTTATATACTGCCATTAACTAACTGTAATTACCCAATTACCATCTGTGAGCCTGTTATAATGCAGACCCACAAAATTACTGCAGTTTGCAACTGTGTGCTTTCTTTCCCGATGGCTGAAAGAACCAGTTGGCTTATTATACCACCCATACCAGCAATTTGCTTCCCAGGGTTTTCCACCGCTGAGCAGGAGGGCTCTCCATCCGTCACCAAGACCAGCATGAACTCTGTCCGTCTCTATCCATCCTCTATTCCCCACCACTGACTTTGCTCCAAGGTCAGGAGTGACCAAGTTTCAAGTGTGATCACCTTGAGGGAGACCTTGGACATTTCTGGAGGAAAATAGCCCTTGGTACAGCTAGAGATGCTGTAAGCCCATAGTTTGGGGTTAGATGAAGATGGGAATGTGGCAGAAAAAAGGTGTTACAAGGACATGATTGTGCCCTGGTTGGATACAAATGGAGAAGAGGACCCAGTTGGATCTTAGGAAAAGACTAGATATATCCTTTTTCTGAGTAACATTGATCGTACGTCCTTAGTAAAACCATCCATGAATAAGGCTTTTACTGTATACCATTTTAATCCTGATCTGATGAGGAATACAATCAGTTTTAACACTTTGGACTGGTGAAGGATAGGGCTTCATAAGGGTAGGACTTTAGGGTGGAAATATAAACCCCTCTTTGCAGAATTAAGAGGAGGCTCCAATACTACAGGACTAGCTTATAGTGTCAATATCTGATGCTTGCGATCCAATTTGTCCTATTGACCTAATTCATCAAATCAAACTGAACGTGTCCCGATAGATAAGAACCAACATGGATGCTTCCCCTGCATGCCCATAGCTTCTTAATCAAAATGTTCTCTAAATCAACTAGTCCCCGTTGCTAAGTCCTGTTCAAATTGATTTGCACATCCAAACGAGTCGGATCCATGTTCTGTACTGGTTTGAACATCTAAAGCAAAAGGGGAGGCACGATTTGCCCAGCTGAATTATAGGCTGACCCCATTTTGAAATCAAGGAACACACGTTAGCAAATAAAAATATGGGGAAGAGGGTGTAAGATTACTGGATTTGCAGTCTGGCTTCATTTTATTTATTTATTTATTAAATATGTATGCTGTCCATCTCCCCCAGCTTTACCTGACTGTACCCCTGAGATTAGGGAACAATGATCTCTACGATGCGAGAAAGAACCCTTCTACTCAGAAGAACCTCTGACTCATTTTCCTAGAATCAGCTGGTGGTTACCGGCAATGAAAATGTTGGAGGAATGAAATTCATCCAGACAGACCGTGTTTGTTTACAGCACCGGAAAAAAATAAGTCATCTACCCCAGTAAGGGGTAAAAAATCCAACAAAGAGGCAGTGGAGTTTTGTCTTAAGCAAAATTATTCCCATCAATACTCCCCACCATCTTTTAAAGGTTCTTTTAAGAAAATGGTGATGAGGGCGATCTTTTTTTCTGTAGTCCCTCAGAAGGGTGCCAGTGTAGGAAGGATGGCAAGTGGTATGATTTTTCCTCCTGTGGGCCTTTCTTTTCTGGATCGCTTTGAAACAAAAGTGTGATGTGTTTGTCTGAAGAAATGTTAACACTTTAACTTCTCCTGCAGGGAAAAAAAAATCTCATTTGGAAGGGTGATAAAAAGATCTCCTCTTTGTCAAAACATTCAGTCATCCTGGACCCAAGGATGCCTGACAATCCCAAAACAAGATCATATGCAAAGTGAGAAGACAAGGGACATAATCAGGTGAGAATCTGGGGACAGGCTGCTTCAGACGTCACTCCTCCCTCCCTGTTTGGGAGAAGTCTCATAATCTAAAAAAACCATAAAGGTTACCAGGAGGAGACACAATTAGATGTTCTCTGGGCATGTCATCATCCACAAGACCATGACCCAGGAGAACTGACTCATCTCGAGGACCTGTTCTTGATGTCAGAGCAAAGGTATTGCAGTTGTCCTGACATCAGGGCTGGAAATTCAGGATACCTTTTTCTCTTGACGCATGAAGCAGAGATTCCCAACCTTTTCTAGACGGATGGCTGCATTTGGGCTCCCTGAAAAAGAGGTGGGGCCTAGGACAAAGAAATGACAGAGCTCAGGGTAGTTTTTCAGTTTCCTAGTCTAGTTTACTTGATTTCTTGATGTCATCTCATCCAAGAGCTAATCAGGTCTGATCTTGCTTAGGTTTGAAGCTCAAGATCAGCCAGCTGTTGCCAGCTGCAAAGGCATACGGAGAGGATTATGCTAGAATAGGGAGCAATATCTCTACCTTCACTGACTGTAAATTTTATTCTTTACCATAGAAACAAAATTCTTGGCAGGTGCTTCTGTTAAACTGCAAATTGCCCAGCTCTCTGATTCCATAACAGTTTGTTCATTCTGTCAAAATAAAATAAAGCACATTCTTTTAAAAAGTCTTTCAGGGAATGCCAGGTGGGGTGTTTGAGCCCAGTCCTTTTTTAAAAAAAAAAGTCATCAGATAATTTTGAGGCAAGAATCTGGTAAGGTAGCTATGAATCAGCTGTACGCTCTAATTATGAAACAGGTATATAGATTTTTTTCTGCCCATTTCATAGGTGGGAAGACAAGCTGTCAAGCAGGTCAAGCTCTTAGCCAATCCCGTCCAGTGATTCAAGGTGCTGAGCAGCACCGACAGGATCTGCTCATGGCATTGGATTCCAAAAACAGAGACTGAAAGCCACCCTCGTGATTCCACAAGTAATCCACCACCTTGTTGGTGACTCAGGAAGGTCTATCATCAGTAGCCATAATTTAGAGAAAGACCGCCATTCGTCAAATTATCAGGAAGGGCCATTGTGTTCCTCCAAGGCCTTTTCAATTGGCGCAAGTAGCTTTAATTAGCAGTCAACATGAGAACAAGAGTCCCACGCCAGCCTCCATGTTTTTGCAGATTATTTTGGGACAAGTCTCTTGACACTTTGAGGGTTTGTCATATTCTCCATGAAGCCCGTCGTGTTCCAAACACTTGGATTCGTCCACCAGATATCTGGACCCACCAAACTGCAAACTCCCACTTGGTTCAGCTTCACAGCTGCCCAAAAACTTCCAATTTCAACCCAGGAGAACCCATTCTCACGTTCTGCCCATCTTTCCTTGATGCCCAGAAATGAGATCCCCCGATTCTCTTACGACTGCACATTATGGTATCTTCAAAGCTGGACAATTTTAGCTTGCAAGTTGCAGGCAGAAGCAAACCACACCTCTGCCTCCCTCGTGTGGGAAGAAACAGAATAATAGCAGCTGTGTTCAAGAACAGCCAAAGTTGACATTTAGCCAACACCTACCCGCTCAGCTGAACACACGCACACGCACCAAATTTGTTACGAAATCAACTGACTGAAAGCCAGGTGCAGGTACGGCTTCAAACATTCCTATTAACAACTTTGGCATATTGAGAAGATAGCAGGAACAATCAGCCTTTCCATCTTTGGCAGTCAAGTCTCACCTTTGAATACAGGGAGTCCTCGGTTTAAGAACGAGTTCCGTTCCCAAGGTCTGTCCTTAAGTTGAATTTGTATGTAAGATGGAACAGAATTATTGTCTAATAGTGTATAAGTAGTAGTATTGTATAATGAACTCAAACCATTGCATATTTAACTCAAATCATTGTGTATTTAACTTGAATTTTGCTACAATAGGCTCCATTCTTAACTATGGGTTGTCCTTAAACACGGCATTCTTAACGCTGGGACTCCCTGTATCCTGAAAATGAATGGGAGTGGGGGCAGATAGAGAAGCAGCATGCAATTAGCCAGTGATATTTCTGAATATTCGAACCATCCATCTTGACTTTATCAAGAAAGGTAGAAGACCCTGAATTCTAACCGCACGGATTTTCCATTTTTGCTTTGGTTCTGTTAGGGATTTGCAACATCTGTCAAACAAAAACTGGATTTGCTACTGTGCCTTGTTTCTTTGTAAAAGCAGGAGCAGTTCGGGTAGAAGGGAAGAGGAAGGGGAAGGGGAAGGAGAAGAAGGATTAAAATAAATAAAAGATACCCCTGGAGTGAGTGAATGAAAAGCAAGAGGAAATCCTGGTCTGGTTCTTTGTGTGCTTAAGGAGAGGTGAAGCTAACCTACATTGTTGAAGAAAATCCATGTGCCACCAAAGAAACCGGAAAGTGGATTTTTCATTTGGCTGTAGCAGCTGCTTGCCCCTCCCTTTTTGCAAACATCGGTTGGATGGAAGGATCCACCCTCCCTCGGCTCCAAAGGCTTTGCTGGTTTTTCAGCAGGATCATGAGCAGAGCACAGCTCACCGGGCAGCTTGTGCGCCCTGAAAAGCAAGCCATTCAACTCAGGGAGAGAGTTGGCAACAGGCTGCCTCAAAAAGGCATCCCCAGAGCCTCAAAACGAAGCAGTTCCTTTAAAATAACAATAATAAAAACAGCAAAAACCTTGCAAGATTAACAGCACATACCTGACATTGCAAGATCCCGGGGGTAAAATTCCTGAAATTTCATGATCCGGTAATGGCCCTCGATTTGTATCTCCAAAAAGGTTACCAACTCCGTAAGATTTCCCTAGTAATTTCATGGACAACTCCATGTAGTTTTCCTGACACCATAATGGAACTGTGTGGCCTTATTCCAGTATGTTTTTTCAACTTCCCAGTCTAGACCACTAGTCTGATTCTCCTAAGGACTCCCATCCTTGTAGTAACCACAATCTGCTACACTTTGGGGACATCAGCCAAAGTCAATCAGGCACTGCCACCGGGTGAAGCAGAAATACCATTATTTAGTTCCCACTGGCCAGCAATCAGCACAGACTTCACCTTTAGTTTCCTCCCTCCAAAGATGATACAGAGGAGAGGGAAAAAATAGAATTGTTGAAGGAGGCTATCTGCTACCTTGAAAGTTTGCCCTCTCTCCACCCCCTAACTGCAGTGCAAAGTCCATTTCTGAAAAGCCCCAATTTTTGGAACCTCACTAGTGTGATCTTAAACCTTGGTGATGCCTACAAGGCAGCGTGGGAGGGGAAGGATTCTGGGTCTAAAAAATATAGACGGCCATTTGGAAAGTCAACACACCACATAACCAGAAGAGAATCTTTCTGAAGTTGCCAGAAGTTTACTAACTGGTGCAGAACGTGCTTGGGGGAGGGGGGAGTAGGCCATGGCTAATGGGGAGTTCAGTCTTTGAGAGTAGCCCTCTGCAGCCGGGTTTCATCTGAGTACTCCACAGGTTCATCCCCTGTCTCGCCAAGAATAATGGTCCGCATAATGGCTTCGGTAACTGCGTAGGGATCGCAATTGGCGGATGGCCGTCGGTCTTCAAAGTAGCCACAGCCGTCCTGCCCCACTTGGCGGGGGATTCGGATGCTGGCTCCCCGGTTGGCCACTCCGGCTGAAAACTCTGTGATGCTGGAGGTCTCGTGCTGGCCAGTTAGCCTTCTGGAGTTGTCCTGGCCTCCTCGCGGATCGTACATCCGGATGTGATACTTGTGGCGTTTGCTCAGCTTCTCAATGGCAGCTTCAATGCACCTAGGGAGGGCATGAAAGCAGAGAGATCAACGTTGGTGAGAAAGAAGCCAGCAGCTTATTGGGGGGGGGGGGGAAGAACGGTGGGCAGAGTGACTACAGGGTCAAGAAAATCACAATGGTGGCCATGACAGCATGATCAAAGCTCTGCCTGTTTTTCATGTGCGAAGCTGAGCTTTGATCGTACCATTGTGGCCGCCATCTTGATTTTCTTGGCCGTAACCTGAGGACACTCCTGATGGTGGGGGAAAATTGCCGTTTGGGAAGGGGGCAGTTTGGCTATCACGTGGAGATTCAGCCACACTGTTTGCACAGATCACACATATTGTCTGTGAAGGAAGGGAAGCTTGTCATGGATGTCTCTCAGCTTGCTTCAAACTGAGGCTAAGTCCATGCTGGGTTTGCATGTCACATCCAGCCCCGTTTTGCTGATCTGTGATTTACTGTTTAAGCCATCTGGGGCTGCCCTATGTCTTAAACCAGATGGAAACAAACCGCCTTTGGGCTTCATGAGTGCTGTGAGCCAAGCCCTTCTTGCCTTTAATCACACTGCTAAGTTCAGCCACTTACTTGATACCCCCTTTCTGTCTTGTTTCTATGGTGCTGACATTGGTATGACATCCAGCCCCATTCCAGTTGCCTGTCATCGGCTTCGGATCCAAGGTGGCCACGATACCAAAATCTTCACAGACCCGATGTAAAATGTATCTCGCCATCCACAGGTGGTCACCCATTTCAATGCCTACACACGGTCCCACTTGGAATTCCCACTACAGGGACAGAGAGAGAGGGCTGGTGTTAAAATGGAATACCCATTCATGGAGTACCTATTGAGTAACCCTTCAACCCCACCAAGTCAGACCTAGGGAAGTTACCAGCTGCAGAAAACCATCAGCAACTAGCAGCCACTACACAGTCTTCGCTCCTGAATTGGGTCCAGTCAATTCTCAATTTTCAATAGAAGGGACTATCTGTAGCTCAGGGTTGAATTGTGGAGTCCTTGATGCTCTCTGAGCTTGGTGGTTTGTCTGCAGACATTTCATCACCCAACTAGGGAACATCATCAGTGCCCCACAATGTTCCCTAGTTGGGTCATGCAACATCTGCAAGCCAACGACCAAGCTCAGAGAGCACCAAGGACTCCGCAATTCTCAATTTCTCCTACCCAGTACAAGCTCCAAAAGAATTCTTCTCCCTCTCCCTCTTTTGCAGCAAAGGGCAGGATCAGGAATGACAAAGCATGTCCTCCCCTCAGATCTTTTCAGGAAGTACTCTTTGTCGTAAAATACCTGAGATGGCATGACTTCAGCGTTGGTGCCACCGATCTCCACACCAGCATACATGCAAGCTTTGTAGTGTGCTTCCACAATATCACGTCCATACACTTTGTTTGCACCAACTCCACAGTAGTAGGGTCCTGGGAGAAAAGGCAGAATTGCATTGGTTGATGCATGCTCAAGACCTCTGATGCCTTGCATATTACAAGTTAGTGCTCTCCTGCACATCTGCACAGAGATTTCCATTTTAAATATAAACAGTCAGCAATTTCTGCATGTTTTTGCAGTCCAGTTTAATTATGCAATGCAAGTCAGCTGGATTATACCAGCATTTTGACTTCTTTTGCTGAGTTGGGTTGTACATGATGACTAAGCAGCAAGTAGAAATATTGTTCTGCTTTCAAAAGTGACTATAAAGCTTCAGTTCTGCATCATCCCTTACAATGATGTAAGTTAGATAGATAGATAGATAGATAGATAGATAGATAGATAGATAGATAGAAAGAAAGAAAGAAAGAAAGAAAGAAAGAAAGAAAGAAAGAGGGA